TTACATATAACCTGTGTTGAGGACCAAGAAATAGTTAAGACAAGGTTACTTGTCTACTTGAAGGTTAATCGTCAGTTTTATGATCCTGAGTCTACAGACGGCATAATGTATTTCAAAACTTTGAGAAACATGATATAATTAAGCAAATCTTTTTTATATCATAGAATATCTAAATACAGAATTTATTATTTTTCTATCAAAAATGAACATTATAAAACTTAGACTATTAGCATTATCTATAGTAGTATTATATTATCTACATCTGTTAGTATTATCTATTACTAGCATCTATATTACAAGTACAAAACCTTAAATCAGGCATTCTAAATCAATACTTTTTGATAATTTTATGAGGAAAATGATGCTATTTTGGGCTTGTTAAAAGAGAGTTATTTTCAGTTATTCATTCAGAAGAGATGAGAGAATTGCTTTCTAAAAGATATTACAGTACCCTGATTTGGCATTTTCTTAAAGAGATGTGAAACAATGAAACGGCAGCTGTAAATCTGCCACTTGGAGCCTTAGAGGACTCACATCACTCCCAGGCCTTGGTTTAACAGTTGGTTTATGATGTGGTTTCAGAATAACACTTTTAAACATGGTATATCCCTTCCTACAAAACTGACATAAATCCATAAAGCTTTTAATGATGTCTCTAAAATACAGCCAAAGTATTCTCTGAGGCATATTTTTGGGTTGTTTATCTAAAATCTCTAGATTTCTGAATCTCCCTCCATGATCTGCCTTGGAATGGCTGTCTCCAGGGCAGCTGATACACTCATCATGTCTCACCCAGGCGGGGACCACTCAGCTTCGTGCCCCATCAGGTACATTATCCCGCCTCAGCTTCCACCCCAAACATCTCACACCCTTGTGCGCATAAGTATCACTTGGGAACCTGCAAAAAGTGCTGCTTCTCCAGAACCTCTGAGCTAAATTCTGGGACTAGGCCTGGGGACCAGCATTTTAATAGGCTCCCAGGAAAGTGGTCCCAGAAATGATGTGACAGTCTCAGCTCTCCATGCTCTCTGACTCCAGTTCTGGCTCCGGGATGGAGTAACTGGAGAGAGGCTGGCATGTGGAAGCTGAGGTTCTTGCCGGTGGCACACTGCACCTGTCACTCAGGTGCTGGGGTCTCTGCTGCCCGGACCCTTCCCTCCCTAGGCCAAGTTCTGTGCTCCTCAGTCTTGCGTTTCAAGTGCCTCGTATGCGCGTCTCCTCCCGCCCATCATCCTGCCTGCCTCGCTCTGATTTGTTTGAATCTCCCAGCCTCCATCTCTAGCCTGCCTCCCACCCTCCCTCCAAGTCCCAGGTCCATCTCTTCTCACCCGCGCCAGGCTGTTCTCAGGTAATGACCCCCACATTCTCTGGCAGAAGCTCTCTCTGTGGCAAACTGAATTGCACAGTGTGTTTGCTCCAGGCGGCCCACCCCACCCGCCCTTCCTGATTTCTCCTCCCTCCCCTGTCCTCTGTTAGACACGTTTACAGAAGCTGGTCCTAAGAGTGTCCATCTGTCCCACCAGACTCTGAACTACTGAGGGCAGGGGTCACCTGTGCCTTCCTCGCTCGATCCCCAACACCCAGCTGAAATGTGGTGGGAGCCTCGGGGCTCTCAAATGAATGACTGATTCCATAAAAGAAGCACGTGAATTTTGTCCAGGCGGCATGATGCCTCGGACCTCAGACCCTCTCACTGCCAACACACTGTGCCTTCAGCTAGAAAGCTGCTCTTCATCCCCGCCACCTGTACTTGGCTACCCACCTCCGGCTCCCTGGGTCCCAGCTTAGATGTCTTTTCCCACAGCAAGTCTTCCACCACCCCTGTATTCCAGGGGGCCCTGTGTCTACCTGATCCTGCACTTACCGCTCTGCATTCTAATAATCTATTTATCCGAATCCTCCTCCAGGTCTGGAGCTCCTTCAGAGCAAGAGTTGTCAGCACCCAGCATCGTGCCCAGGGTGCAGTCGGTGCTCAATAGATGTTTGCTGAAAGCTAACTCAGGACATTTAGGTAGTGAGATGGGGTTCTCATCACACAGCTGCTAAATAAACCGCCATAACATTCACTGTATTGTACTCACAGTGTTGATGCGTCTCCTCCCACAACCACTGCTAGATGGAAATCTCCTCACGGGAAGTGACTGTATTTTGTTCGTCTTCACACTTCCGTAAGTCAGGCAGCAATGAGCATGGATTAAGTAGCTGTTCAGTCCTATGTGTTCCAAGAAGGATGCTTTTGGCATGTGGAGCAGGAGAATTCTAATTTTTTTTTTCTTTTCTTTTTTGGAGACGGAGTCTCTCTCTGTTGCCAGGCTGGAGTGCAGTGGCGTGGTCTCGGCTCACTACAACCTCCACCTCCCGGGTTCAAGCAATTCTCCTGCCTCAGCCTCCCAAGTAGCTAGGACCACAGGCACCTACCACTATGCTTGGCTAATTTTTGTATTTTTAGTAGAGATGGGGTTTCACTATGTTGGCCAGAATGGTCTCGATCTCCTGGTCTCGTGATCCGCCAGCCTCGAGCTCCCAAAGTGCTGGGATTACAGGTGTGAGCCACCATGCCCGGCCCAAGAAAATTCTTAATTGCATAAGACAGCCCCACACATTGCAGGACACGCTGCTGTCCTTGCCTGTGCCCACTAAATTTCATTGGTATCCCAATCATTTTGACAACTACCCCACCTACAAAAGTTTTGGGGGTAAGAGGACCAGGAGGAAAATTGCACAGCATATAGTTGAAAAGCTACAGTTAAGTCTTTTCCTTACAACTTGGTCAGAAGCAAAGGACTCTGTAACAGTGCCATGGTGGATTGTATGTGTCAACGTAATTAAGAGAGAGAGGATCTCTGAAATATAAGATATTTATTTGGAAATAAAGCATTGCAATGGGAATATGCATGCCATAGTTAACTATGTGCATATTCAGGTAGGTGAAGACACAGGTTTTTAAAGGAAAAAAGGAGGAGCATTACATAATTGTTTTAAAATAATTATCCTTGGCTACAAAGCTCAATGACAAGGGTGACACTAGTCCAAGATTGGACAGGCAAATTCTGGGCAGATGTTCCTGTAGAAGTGTTTTGTGTTTTTTGTGTTTTGTTTTGTAAAGTTGCAATGGTGTTTGTGCAATGTTGTGCTTTTTGCAGAGTCTTTGTGATAGTTCTTGTGATCAGGCATTTATTCATGGCCTTTCCCAGCTCCATTTCTCAGGGCCTTTTTTTTTTTTTTTTTTTAAATTAATGACTTCATTTTGATTCTGACAACTTTCACACATGTGTGTGGTGATGTGAGGTGGAGGACAGGAGGTGTCACCCTCAATATACAGTGGTAACCTGTCTTTGTAATAATGGTTCACTAATCTTTCCTGAGCACTTATATATTCCAGGCACTAAGCTATGTGTTATACAGTTTATTTAATCCTCACAACCACCTATGAGGTCCCATTTTTTAGAGATGAAACTGAGGCTGAGAGAGTTTCAAGACATTGACCCAAGTTAACACAGCTGCTACAGACAAGGGCAAGATATACCCCCAGGCGTCGGACTTCACTGCTCTGTGCCGACCTCTTTAACAAGAACAAACATCAAAATTCTCAGATGGAAGACTCCTATTAAAAACTGTCCTCTCCCATTAATTTTAACGTAGAGCAATTTTGCAAAATATATTCTGCATAGTGTTAATTTAGTGGGATGTCAAGTGTTGTGAGATTAACGGTTGCATGGGCGATGGAGTGTAAGAAATGCTTTCAGCAAGGCCCTCGTAGAAGGCCGTGAAACAGAAACCATGAAGACCACAGGAGCCCTAAGATGGCACAACCCTTCACAGTAAGTCAGGGGTGATTTAGAACATTGCTGAGCAAACAGCAGGGAGACCGGCAACAGGAGCTTGCTGGCCGTGAAGTGCCTAATATCCAGTAAGCGCTGCTCAGGCTCTAGGAAAAGGCTGATGCAGGAAGGGTTTCTTTCTTCTAATTTCTCAATAATAATAACAATAGATACTATTTATTGAGTACTGATCACTCTCCACTTTATAGATGAAATACTGAGGCCTAGAAAAATTTGTTAAGTAACTTCTCCTGAAGTCATACAGCTATTTAGTGGTAGAGCCAAGTTTGAACCCAGTTCTCTCTAACTTCAAGACATGTGATTGTAAACCCTATACACAAAGCCTCTAGGGACCTAGGGTTTATCAAAGGCTTTCCTGTGTGAATATCCAAGCAAATTCTGTCTCAAAGAGGATTCCCCTATGGGTTCCTTGTACAAGGGATTTATTTTTGGCATATCTCTTCAACCTGACAATTAGTGCCGTGGTCTGAGTACATGAACTTTTTTTCAGGGTATGTAAATTTTTTGTCTTAGTACGTGTAATTTTTTTCTGGTATAATGTAAGTTTCTTAAATTTTACTTTCTTTTTAATTGTATAGATTTCCATATGATATGGTTTGGCTCTGTCCCCACCCAAATTTCAAATTGTAGTTACCATAATCCCCACATGTTGTGGGAGGAACCTGGTGGGAGGTAATTTAATCACAAGAGGAGGTCTTTCCTGTGCTGTTCTTATGATGATGAATAAGTCTCACAAGATCTGATGGTTTTATAAATGGGAGTTCCCCTGCACATGTGCTCTCTCTCTTGTCTGCCACCATGTAAGACATGACTTTGCTCCTCCTTTGCTTTCCACCATGATTGTGAGGCCTCCCCAGCCACATGGAGCTGTGAGTCCATTAAACCTGTTTTTCTTTATAAATCAGCCAGTCTGTGGTATGTCTTTATTAGCAGCATGGGAACAGAATAATACATCATACTTTGTTACATGCTTTTTTTTTTTTTTTTTTTTTGATAAGAGTATTTGTGTTGATGCAATAACACCTTTGTCCATAGAACTCAGTCAGATGCCCTTCCTGGAGCCAGTGCCTGCACTCTATGAGCTGCTGGAGAGGTCATCGTAGGGTGTCCGCATCAGACCTCTCCTCATTTTTCAATTCTCTCTCTCCTTTATAATAGATGTTGGTGCATTTTTTGAAGAAGGGATGTGGCTACGATATAACTTCCAGGCACCAGCAATCAACGCCAGAGACTCCGGCAGCAGAGTAGAGAACTCTCCCGACCAGCAGAACTCCCACCCAGACCTGGCCCAGGAGGAGATCCGTTTCAGCTTCAGCACCACCAAAGCGCCCTGCATTCTCCTCTACATCAGCTCCTTCACCACAGACTTCTTGGCAGTCCTCGTCAAACCCACCGGTAAGGTCGAGGATACCCAGCCTCTGCCATTTAACATTTCGGCAGACAGAATGTTCTAGCAAGAGTCTATAGATTGTTCTTGGTTTGTTCTTTATTCCCCATGGGCCTTGCTGAGCAAGTCACATAACTTCTTTGAACCCCATTTCTCTCCATGAATATCAGGAAAACAGCTTGCCAGCTGGGTGAGTTGGAGCAAGGTGTTAGAGTAATAACGTTGATGAGGCATGTTGGATTCTTTACAAGAACGCTTTTTCATGAATCGGAGATAGGTTTGTGTGTGTGATGATTATTTTTTCTTCCTACTAAATAAACACATTCGGCTGGACACTGTGGCTCATGCCTGTAATCCCAGCACTTCGGGAGGCCAAGGTGGGTGGATCACTTGAGCTCAGGAATTTGCTACCAGCTGGCCAATATGGCAAAACCCCATCTCTACAAAAAATACAAAAATTAGCTGGGTGTGATGGTGCATGCCTGTAGTCCCAGCTACTCAGGAGGCCGAGGTGGGAGGATCACTTGAGCCCAGGGTGTCGAGGCTGTAGTGAGCCATGATGGTGCCACTGCGCTCCAGGCTAGGCAACAGAGTGAGACCCTGTCTCAAAAGAAAAAAAAAGACTAATAAGAAAGACTAATAAAAAATAAATACATTCACTAAATGTGCTAAACAGAGATGGGCTTTGAATGAGTAAAATTAATTTTACATGAATTAATTTTATCCTGATTTATGATAGTATGCCAGTAGGTTGTTACAGAATGTTTGAACTTTCAATCGGAATAGAAAATCAGAAATGTTTTCATTCCCAGTCCTCTCAGAACTTCAAATTCACAAAATATATCCCTGTCGTAAAGGTTCCTTAAAGCAGGAGGGCATTTTTAATTTTAATTTTTTTTTTGAAACAGGGTCTTGCTTTGTTGTCCAGGCTCGAGTGCAGTAGCAGGATCACAGCTCACTGCAACCCTAACCTCTCAGGCTCAAGTGATCCTCCCACCTTAGCCTCCCAAGTAGCCAGGACCACAGGCACACACCACCACTCCCAGCTAATTTTTTAAATTATTTGTAAAGATGGGGGTCTCACTATGTTGCCAGGTCTGGTCTTGAACTCCTAGACTCAAGAGATCCTCCTGCCTTGGCCAAACTGCTGGGATGACAGGCATGAGCCACCATGCCCAGCCCAGGGGTGGATTTTTACTTGTAATATCCTGGGCCATCTTGGTCATCAAACATACATGAAGCCAGAGAGGATCTCAGTGCATCTAAAATTGGCAGCCTGAGGAGAATATGCAAATGGGCTTGTGACCCTTCAGCAGTGACCTCTGAGAGACATCTAAGAAACCCTGGAGTGTACAAACCTGCTGAACTTGAGAAGTCCACTTCCTCTCTGAAAATGAATTCATACACGCTTAAAGTTCTAAGATCACTTTTATTTATCTATTTATTTATTTTTTGACATGGCGTCTTGCTCTGGCGCCAGGCTGGAGTGCAGTGGCACAATCTCGGCTCACTGCAACCTCTGCCTCCTGAGTTCAAGCAGTTCTCCTGCCTCAACCTCCTGAGTAGCTGGGATTACAGGTACGCGCCACCACGCCTGGATAATTTTTTTTATTTTTAGTAAAGACAGGGTTTCACCATGTTGACCAAGGCTCTCTTGACCTCGTGATCTGCCCGCCTTGGCCTCCCAAAGTGCTGGAATTACAGGCGTGAGCCACCACGCCCTGCCCTAAGATCACTTTTTTAATGAATAAAAATATTTTAAGAGCATGCAGGAACAAATCTCTCTAACTCACTTCCCATTAGAGCTGAAAATGTGGAGGCTTTCTCTCCCACTGCCCATCTTTTCCTGCCCTTCAGTGATTATTCCACTGTTATGGCATCTTAAAGAGCAAGAGTTTTGAATGGGCACTGTGGCTTGTGCCTGTAATCCCAGCACTATGGAAGGCTGAGGCAGGAGGATTGCTTGTGACTGGTAGTTCAAGATCAGCCTAGGCAACATAGCAAGACACTGTTTCTACCAAAAATAATTTAAAATTTAACTGGGCATAGAGGTGCACACTTGTGGTCGCAGCTACTCAAAAGGCTGAGGAAGGAGCATTGCTTGAAGTCGGTAGTTCAAGCCTAGCCTGGGCAACATAGCAAGACTCCATCTCTACCAAAAATAATTTTAAGATTAACTGGGCATGGTGATGTACACCTGTGGTCCTAGCTGCTCAGGAGGCTGATGGGGGAGGATCACTGGAGCCCAGAAGTCGCTGGAGCCCAGAAGTGCAAGGCTGCAGTGAGCTATGATCACACCACTGTACTCCAGCCTGGATGACAGAGCAAGAACCTGTCTCTAAAATAAAATAATTTTAAAACAAGAAAAAAGGAAGATCAAGATTTTTTCCATGGGAGCCAGAACTGTTATTAGTAACGTAATTCAGCTTGAGTTTTAAAAAACAGTAAATTAAACTCCCTCTCTGGGAAATGCACTGTTGCTTAAAAAGATGGAGGAAAAAGTATGTTCCCTAGGATTTTCCCCTTCTGAAATTATTCCTAAAGAAATAAGCCAAAAGTCAAAGATTCATCCTGAAGATGTTCATCCTAATGTTAACTATGAAAATAAAAATTGAAAAGAACTTGGAAGTTCAACTTTAGTAAAATAGTAAAAGAGGGAGTCACCATTTTATGGAATATTATGTATCTATTAAAATATTTATGAACAGTGATTAATGACATGGAGACATTTTATGTGATATTATGTTAAACCAAGAAAACAAAAACAAGATCCAGCCTTGAATGTGAAATATTAGCTCCGTAAAAAATATATGGATAGAAAAAAAAGCAATAACGTGAACACAAAAGTATCTGGTTGGATTGTGGATGATTTTTTTTTCTCCTGAGCAATACTTTTGTATGAATGTCAAATGCTTTATTCAGAAAGATGAAAATAGTAAATAAAATCAGAAAGTGAGGATAAAAGAGAGACAAGTATGGAGCCCCTGCTCTTCGGGAGTTCATCAGTTTATTTCTCCTGGGTCAGGGTCGATAGATTTTTTATCCACCGATGCTCACTACCCGCATGGGCCAGCCTCCGACTGGGCAGATAAGAACCTTGGGTTTCTTCTCAGGTCCCTCCCCAGGAGGAGGGCTCTCACCTGGAGACTGTCAAGAAGTTGATGAACACATTCCCACGCACGCTGTATTGTCTGCTCCTCAAGTCATTGCCACACTAAAATTTGGCCCTCAACTGTATTCACTACCTCACATGCCCACTGCTACACACCCACTGCTGCTGTGCCCTCATGCCTGTGTGAGGTCTTTCATTGTCTGCAAGGGCTTTGATCAATGGATTCCATATTAATGGCCACCGTTCAGTGAAGCTCACTTTGTGCCCAAAGCCATCCTGAATGTTGCCATGCATTAATTCCCATGAGCTACACAACTCTATGAAGTCGATACTGTTGTTGTTGCCTTCCTACAGATGGCAACATGTGAGTACATGGAGGCTGAGTGACTGGCACATTCAGAGGATGTTGGGCCAGGCTGGGGTTTCTCAGTCTGGATGTCTGGTTCCGGGCCCTGAGTTCCCCACCGGCCCCACTCTCTAGCGCAGGCATCTCTGGAACTCTCAGTGTGCTTGGAAAGCAAAGCTGGGTGGGTTCTGTCTCACTATTGCAAGCCCATCCTGAAACTGCTGGTGAAAATGCAGCTTTTTCACCCTTCAAATACAACATGTTTTTATTAATTGAAGTTTAAAGTTAGAAAAAAAGGAAATCATTAGGAAAACACATCAGTAAGGTCTACGCCAAAATATCGGGAAAAAGCTACTAGAAAGTCTCTACTAAACACCCTGGCATCACTCACATTTCACATATTGAAAGCTCTGCTCACTGTTCTCCAGAGCCAGCTGCCCCCAGCACCACCACTGCCCTCAGACACTTGCATTCCCAGGCTCAGTGTCCCTCACCAGTGCTCCATCCTTCCCTGCTCTTGTGGGTCACCCAGGCAAACAAGTCCTGTGGATCGAACTCATGATGGCCTTTTCCTCCCCACCACTACTCTCTCAGGCAAATATCTTTTAATTACTAATATTGTTCACATCATGGTGTCCATAGAAAATTATTATATTTGAATGGTACCTGGGTAAATGGATGAGGTCATGTTTTGGAGGCCAACTGCCCAATGACTCCAGCTGCCATCCCCTTTTGCAGGTCTGCCACGGTCTGAGGGGAGCCTTGCTCCTGTTACCCCATCACCTATCTGCAGGACAGCAGTGGGCTTCAGCTCGTTGGCTGGGAAATTCTCTCCCAATCCATCTCTCTGCTTCCAGACTCTCCCCCTCACCCATTTTGACCACAGCCAGCATTGCTTTCCTTTATATGGCGTCTTATTTTCTGTTGCTTATAACAGAATATCTGAAACTGGGTAATTCATAAAGAAAAAGAACTTATTTCTTATAGTTACAGAGGCTAAGATGTCCGAGATCAAATGGCCAAATCTGATGAGGGCCTTATTGCTGGTGAGAACTCTCTGCAGTTCTGAGACAGCGCAGGGCATGACATGGTGAGGCTAAGCACGCCAGCTCAGGCCTCTCTTTCTCTTCTTATAGACAGTCCCACTGCCATGAAAACCTATTAATGCATTAACCCATTAACCCATTAACCCATGAATCTATGAATGGATCAATTCATTCATGAGGACAGAGCCCTCATGATCCAGTCAACTCTTAAAGGGCTCACCTCTCAATATACCCACATTAGGGATTAAGTTTCAACCTGAGTTTTGGAGGGGATGTTTACACCATAGCATAGGGATATTATTTAAAAGGGATCTTGTATAATGTCCTTATTAAACACTCAGTGGTGCCCCATTCCAACAAAACCAGGAGAGATTCCCCAGTCCCACAAACTTTCAAGTTCGAGACCCACCAACCTCATGGGTGAGAGCTTGGCCTGTAGAGCTGGACCGTTAGGTTTGAGGTCGGCTTTGCCTTTTGTGAGTTGTCTTGGGCAGTCAATTGGCA